CCACTGGCTATTTATAGTTTCCTGGGCTCCGGGTGGAGGCAGGCTGTGAATTGGACTTCACGTTGTCCTCTGGGATGAGCCGGGAGGTCATAGATAAATGGGAAACTGTGAAAGCTCTAGTTCAGTTGTTCCTGGTTTGGAGAGACAAGGGTGGGTGGCAGGGTCACTTCATTTGCAATACAACCCCATGGAACCCAGCTTCTGCTTTCACCCTGAAAAGGACCCCAGGACTGGCTGTCAACGGATAACATAAGTGCATCAACAGTGAAAAACAATAAGAATAATAGTCAGTTTGGTTGGTTGGGTGTGTGTGGGCTCACATTTTTTTTTGGTCTTTTTAAATTGATGTTATTTAAGAATTGAAATTGTCAACCGCCACTGCAATCATCCCTGGAATTATTTTTAGGACTGTGACCTTGACAGTCATTGTGACATGCTGTCAGAATGAATTTAGCATTGTTTGTGGGCTCACCTGAAGGAGAATTTGCATATATGGCCAGACTCTCTGGTTTTTTTCAGTAGTAACATGCATTTGATAGTCTATAAGTGTGTACTGAAAATTTTGTGATAGAATCCATACAATCCTGCATGCCTTGAAAATCTGTGTATTCACAACCCATCTTCTTATTTTGATTTAAATGGTTGCAAACCTGAGTTTTGCTTATCTTCAGTGAAATCTAGTAATGGGTTGAACAGATGATATGAGGAAAAAACATTTAACTCCAGGAATGGTTGGAGTTAAGGCCCAAGGCTTAGTTGTCGTTTTCTGTTATGCTGCTGATGTAATTAAAGTAATGGTAATAATGATCCCACAAGACTTCTGTTCAGAAGTTGGAGAAAGCAGAAATATGATCTCTATTTGGTTTTGTTATCTATTTCTATATTTACATATTAATGCATGTGAGATTATTGTGCTGGAAAGTAATATCTTTAAAAGCAGATTTGTGGGACCTTATTTTCAAGTGTGATGCCCAGGACCCAAATTCTCCCTTTTCTTTTCCATTTCTCCTGTCTGCCCACTGTATTGCTTCTCGGCTGCTTTTGAGGCTACAACCAAGTCATGGGGATGGCCTCTTGTCTCAGTGCAGCCTTGAAAAGTGGAGTTCATGCTCTGTTCACTGTGGGTCGGCCAGATCTAGTCTAGAAGCACTTGAATCTGTAGTTATCAAATGTGAAAGAAAGAAAAAGGGGGACCAGGACCTTGCTTGTGGCCCAACTGGTTCAATCCCAGGGACCGCCATATGGTCCTCTGAGAACTGCCAGGTGTGACCCCTGAGCAGAGTCACATGGAAGCCCTGAACACTGCCAGTTATCCCCCATCCCCTGTCCCCAAGAAAAGGGAAGAAAACAGTATGTCTCCACACATGTTTTGAAGAGTAAATAGATTTGATGCACTTAAAGATGTGCCTGACTCATGAACTCTCATATTCCAAAAATGTTCTTGTACTTAAATATATAAAGAATAGTGTTAGGATAATATTAACTTTACTTTTGAATTCTTGGAAGGAAGAGAACTATTTTCTAATTTTCTGAACGGTGCCTTACTCGGGGACAGAGCAATTATTGCAGTGGCTCTCTTTGCAGTAAAATGCCCAAGACAAGATAAAACAGCATCAATTTGGTAGCTATAGTGCTGTTCAGTGTTGATGTAGAGTTTGAAGTGGTCTCTGATGGGGAAGTTAATTTTTTTTATTATTAATAATTAAATGATAACTAAACACTCAGCTAAGTACGTGATCTTTTTTTGGTAAAGTGCATCTTTGGTAAAGTGCATCTTGGTAAAGTGCATCTTTATGTTGCCAGTGGCTTGGTAAAGTGGGGCATGTGAGAGATAGACTCAGGAAGATAGTTTCCACCTTCCTGCTCACCCACCTGAGCCACCAGATCTTGGGGGAAATGCCTGGCCTACAGCAGGTCAGTCCGAACCTGGGCACAGGCAGGGTGGGTTCCTGTTTTTTTTTTTTATAGAAAAGAATTTAGGGAAGAGGCAAAATGGTGAAGCAACATCGTTATTGAAACTTATTTAGAGATCTGAGGGAAGAGAGATACTTGTTCAGGGGAGAATGAGCACATGAAGAGTGGGCCTTGAAGGAGCATTTACACAGTGCTTCCAAATAGATTTTTCTGGAGTTTTGCATTTATGAAAGTCAATCTGGTTGTCCACAAAAACTGTAGGAAAGCCTTATATTCTCTGCTTCTGAGGGGTCCAGCTTTGGGTGGGTCCTTGGATTCTTTTCCTCTGGGCGGTACCTCAGTTTCTCTGTTTCTCCTCTCCAAAGAGCTCAAGATTTGGTCTTCATGCCTTTGGGCTACTTCAGGGCTAGGAAATCTCCCTTAAGTTATTAGAATTACCATTATAATTACCATTTTCCAAAAGTGCAGTAGGCAAATGGGGCGGGGTGGGGGTGGGGTAGCTACCTATCTGCCTACTGCAGTTTCATCTAGTTACGCCACAATAATTATATTCCCCTGATTTTATAGATGAGCAAATGGAATCTGAGGTCTAAGTAACTGAGTAACTTATTTAAGTAACACTGCTAGAGGAGTTTGAAATCTTCCCCTGAATATCATTCTTCACTCCCCCCATACATAATTATCTTGATATGTTTTGCTATTTACAGTAAATGGAATTTTGATAATTTTAAAGAAATATTTTGTGATTTGGAACCAAAACATATCCTCTATTTTCAAAAAAAAAAAAAAACCCAAAAAACAAACAAAAATAAATAAAGGAGCTAAGCATCCATCATCTGGTTTTTGTTAGGTTTTGGGGTTTTTTTTTGAAGCAAAATAGGGTAAGGCTTTTCTGGGGGGAGTGGAAGGGAGAGGTATCACACCCAGCTTTGCTCAGGGCTTACTCCTATATGCAATCAGGAATCACTCCTGGTGGGGCTCAGACAACCACATGGGATGCCAAGGGTCAAACCCAGGTAGGCTGCTTGTAAAGCAAGTGCCTTACCTGTCCTACTATTGCTCTGGCCCTTTGGAATCAAAATTATTTTTATTGAAAGAAATTCAGAGAGATGTAAGGAGAGAAAAAAGGTGTTCAAGAGAGAACACAAGTTCTCTAGTGTGGGTTAAAAACAAAGAATGACTTTTAGAAGAAGGAAGGTTATATACAATTTCTCCTAATTGTCCTGGCCTGGAGTTCTGTGCCTACCGAAAATCTGGGTGTTGTCACCAGGAAAGCCTTAGGCTCCTGGTGGTTCATTCATATTCATATCAGGACCTTTAGATTCTCCTGTGGCTTCTCCTTTTCTTCCTTCTTCTTCCCAGGTCCACCCTTATCTATGGTCTCCCTTTATCTTCTTGTCTTAGAGCTTTGAATTTGCATCTCACAGGAATGAAGGTCCTCAAGCCTTTGAGTTACTTCTGGGAAGAGTGGTTTCTCCTTAAGTTTTATGATTTCCAAAAAACTCTTGGCCAGGGCCCCCTCTATCTATTTACCTTCAGTACTCCTCCGCCACCCCCAAACCCCCCCAATTTTTTTCACCCTTTAATTCTTTAAGTGGTGCATGAATATCCTTATAATTTTAGCATCTTACAAAAGGATGCAGACCCTGCTTAAGTAAGGGTATAAAATCTTATGCTAATTAGAGGGACCAAAGCAATGTTTTATTAGTTGAGGTAAGTTTTTTTTTCAATTTTTTCAATTTAATTTGTTTACTTTTTTAAATTTAATTAAAGAACGGGCTGGAGCAATAGCACAGCAGATAGGGCACCTTGCGCATATCCAACCCGGGTTCGATTCTTCCACCTCTCTTGGAAAGCCTGGTAAGCTACTGAGAGTATACCACCCACACAGCAGAGCCTGGCAAGCTCCCCATGGTGTATTTGATATGCCAAAAACAGTAAGAATAGGTCTCACAATGGAGACGTGACTGGTGCTCACTTGAGCAAATCGATGAACGGTGGGATGACAGTGCTACAAGTGTTATCTGTTTCTGAGGTTAGTTAGAGAATATTTTCAGTTATTTTGGTACAAACTGCTGCATGAAAGACAAAAAGTTCAGTAAATTGGTCTTTGGTGAGGTTGGTGTGTGTGTGCGTGTGTGTGTGTGTGTGTGTGTCTGTGATGGGGCGGGTAGGACTTCCCTAGCAGTGCCTTGGGCTGGGCCGGGAGGTTCAGTGCTTGGGGCTGGGTATGAAGAGCTACTTGAGTCCTGCTGTTCTAGGGTCTACCAGCGTCATGCTAGTTGTGTTAGGGGTCTCCAGGACTATATTCAGCAGTGCTAGGGACACATGCAGTTCAGGAGAGTGAATTCTTGTCTTTGTGTATGCCGGATATAGACCCTTAACCCTTGAGCTATCTTATCCCTCCAACAACAGCGTATGAAGGTTTCCTTTTCTCCACATTCCCACCAACAATTATTTCTGGCCTTTATGGATATAGGCTGTTCTCACAGGTGTGAGGTGGTCTCTCAGTATCCTTTGTTTTCTATTCCTTGACAATAGACAGTAACATATTTTTTCATGTGCCTATTGGCCACCTCTTGGTGGTGTCTGTTCAGCCCCTTTCCCTTTGATCTTTTTCCCTTTGATCTGATCTTTGATCTGATATGTTGTTTGTTATTGAGTGTTATAAGTGCCTTACCTAGCTTGGATATTAGCCCATTGTCAAATACTGTATGCAAATATTTGTTTCCAAATAGTTGAATAATTTTTACTACATTTTGAATTATTATTAAAACCACATAACTTAATGGTAAAGTGAAAATGAGGCAAAGCAAAATATATTTTCCTGAAAACAGAATTGTCTTTATTTGCTGCTCTCAAATCTTCTCTTTTTTTTGAAAAAGGATTGTCATATGTCTTATTAATATAAATTAATAGTGTTTTTTAAAAGAATGGTACATTTTAGAAAACTTTTTACAGCTCTATCCATCTATCCATGCATAAATATTTCCTAAATGTATCAAAAGTTTTATTCTGATATCTGATATTTTACAACATAGTAACTTGCCTAACTTGTTGCAATTTCTGACATTTTTCTCTTCCAGTGTCTGTATTTATGCTGAAGGTCCAGGTGAATGACATAATCAGTCGTCAGTACCTGAGTCAAGCAGTTGTCGAAGTATTTGTGAACTACACAAAGACAAATTCTGTAGTAACTAAAAATAATGGCGCAGTGTTGATAAGAGTACCCTATAAATTAGGACTCAGTTTAACCATTATTGCATACAAGGATGGCTACGTAATGACACCCCTGCCTTGGAAGACTGGAAGAATGCCAAGTAAGCATGGAAAATAAACATACATGCTTTTCCCATCTACTCTGGGGGATATCTTGTTTTGGAAAATTGAAACTGGGAATACATATGAATTGTGTATGAAGGTTAGGGAGGTGTGGCAGTTTGAAGAAAACATGTCCATCTTTAAGATTTGTATAACTGGGGCTGTAGAGAGAGTACAGAGGTAAAGGTATAGGCAAGGCATGCTGCCAGCACTAGTTAGTTTGCTTCATCATGTAGCTCCCAGTGCATTTCTGATGCAGGCCCAAGCACTGACAGGGTAATTGGGGATATCCTGGCACCAGGTTATTGAGCAGAACATTTGCAGGGCCTCGTATTCAACCACCAGCTCACTTGAGAAGCTATTACTGCATACAAGGAATAATGGGAACCCTCTGCATAGGGTTCCTCACCCTCCTGAGTACTGTATAAGAGCATTGCATCTTTATATGGGAAGGTACAAAAGAGTGTTTGTGATCTCAGTCTTAGAAAAACTTATATCGTATAACCTACAAGAAAAACTGAAAAAAGTAGAGTAGGCTAGGAAGAAATTACAATCAGGAGAAATAGTAGAGGGCCTATCTCTATAGAGTAGAGGGCATTTAATAATATTAACTTGCCCATGAATTTCTGGACTGGAGCAATATCACAGTGGGTGGAACGTTTTCCTTGCACAAGGGCGACCTGGAATCGATTCCTCTGTCCCTCTCTAGAGCCCGGCAAGCTATTGTGAGTATCCTGCCCGCAGGGCAGAGCCTAGTTAGAGAACATTTTTAGTTATTTTGGTACAAACTGATACATAAAAGACAGAAAGTTCAGTAAAATCGAACAATGCTGTAAATCTTTCAGTTTATAGCAACTATATTTTGCATTTATTCATTCTTTGTTTTGAACTGCTTTTCCATCTTAATTTTATTTTCTACCTTGAATTTTATTTCCTACCTGCTGGATCAGAATTGTATTTGTCTGTTTTTCTTTTTTTGGCTCCACATTTAAATATTGTAATTTTGCTATATTTCACAGTATATTCATCAGTGACCCTTTCACTGTTTCCACAAAGCCAAGCAAATATATGGCTCTTTGAAGACACTGTTTTAATAACTGGAAAATTAGCTGGTAAGTATAACTCTTTTTAACTAATAAGTAAATTGATAATTGAATTGGCAAGTATGTTTCTTTAAGTAAATTGATAGAATGTTTATATAAAAGCGCTTCTTTACTAATCAGTGTTGATCATAACATAAACATTTTAAAGCATTAAATATAAATTGATATCAACAGCGAGCAGATGCCCAGGAGTGAATGATATTCGAAGCCAATTAAATCCTAGGTTACATAGGTTACAAAAGCATAATATTAATTGTCTTCTTGTATCGATACAAAAGCTTTAAAGTAAACTATTCAAAAGACATTAAGGAGAGGAGAAAGGTAATATTAATTTACAATATCAATATAAGTTCAGTGTCCTAGAAAGATCTCACCGTACAAATTAACAGAAACTGATTAGGGGAATAAACTGATTAACTGGGGAAGAGAGCATAGAGAAGTAGTTACAAATAAAGAAGAGAATGGGAGCACTGGGATGGGTGTGACCAGATAAACCTAAGCTGCCTGAGGAAGAACAAAACAGTGTTGTCCTACACTTGATACTTTCTATTTTAATGATTTAAGAATTTGTCCTTGATTTATTAAAATATATTGATGAAATATCAATATCAGTTTTAATCCAGTAATTAAAGTTTTAAAGTTTTAATCCAGTAATTACCCTAGAGTATAGTTAATTCAAAGTTATTAATTCGATATAATATTTATAAATAGAGTGCATGGCATTTGGAAGTGTTTTTTTTGTTTTGTTTTATTTTTTAACCACTCCTATCAGTGCTCAGGGCTTACTTCTGGCTCTCTGCTCAGAAATCACACCTGGTGAGGGCTAACAGAATTAAACCCCAATATGCTATGTGCAAGGCTAAAGCCCCTTAATATACCTTTAGTTAACTGAGAAAGAAATCTACCTATTTAAGTATGGTTGGATATCATCAAAGGCATTTTGTTGCCAGTTGTTAAAAACAATTCAAAGCTAGCTTAAACCCAAAGGAGGCCATTACCAATTATTTGAATAATAAGGGAGAATAGGATTTGAACTAATTTAAAATTGGCCCGATCGGGTCTTCAGCTGCAGTACTTGATCTAGTTTTTCTCTTGATTCTTTTGTTTGTTTGGGGGCTTCACTCAGTTGGTGCTCAAAAATACTCCTGGCTCTGCACTCAGAGATCACTCTTGGCATATTCATGGGATCCTATGGTGTGTCTGGGATCAAACTGGGTTTGACCATCTGCACAAGTGCCCAACCAGCTACACTACTGCTCTGGCCCCTCTCTATATACTACATTCTTATTCCCATCAGATGTCTCATTTTTTCAAACCAGCTCTGACTTTTGCATAACACAAATGATTTGTGTTATTCCAGGTTGGATATCTCCGATGGGAAAAGCCTTCCCTATAAGTCCAAGTAAAACTTCATAGCCTTTTATTACTTTTGATTGTCCCATAACGCATTGTTGAACATATTGCTACGGTCAAGAGAATAATGAGATGCTTTTGATTGATTATTCCCACTATGGCATATTTCATTAACTGTAATACTGTTACGGAAATAATGCCCAGGTGTTCCAAAAATGGTCAGTGTATGGTGGTTTTCTTGAGTGAAATTTATGAAAGGGGCAGAGAAATTCTGGACAGCAGAATCAAACAGTTTGTGAGAAGAAAATGTCTTGTGTGATATAAAGGAAGATTACTCAGCCATTCATTTCCAAATTTAAAATAATAATCATGTGGGGAGGAGAGATAGTACAGTGGGTAGGACACTTGCCTTTAATGCCACAGATCCAAGTTCATTACTACCACACTCACTATGGGACCCTAAGCCAGCCAGGAGTGATCCTTGAGCACAGAGTCAGGAATAAGCTCTGAGCACCACCAGATGAGCCAAATCCAATAAATAAATTAGTTAAATTAAGTAATGATTACAGGGTGTTAGCTAGATATATAAATAGTCACTGCTTCAAATAAAGTAAAATGACCAGGGTTGGAGCGTTAGCACATCGGGTAGGGTGATTGCCTTGCACGCGGCCAACCCAGGTTCGATTCTCAGCATTCGTATGGTCCCCCGAGCACTGTCACGAGTGATTCCTCAGTGCAGAACCAGGAGTAACCCCTGAGCATCACCAGTTGTGACCAAAAAGCAAGAAAAAATAAATAAAGTAAAATGACCAATGATGTATTTGGTATTTGTCTACTTGTTAATGAGGCTTTCTTTTTCCAGATGCCAAATCTCAACCAAGTGTTCAGTTTTCAAAAGCCTTAATTAAACTACCGGACAACCACCACATTAACAATGTAACAGGCTATCTTACTGTTCTACAACAGTTTTTGAAAGTGGACAATTTTCTCTATACAACTGGAATTACTCCCAATAGATCAGGTACTGTTGAATCTTTATACAGTGTATAATCATATGTAGGCAACTGCTAAATCTCTCATGAAATGCTGCTTAAGTTATTTAGACATTTGACATTTATTTAAGTTTTGAAGGAAGAGAACACAGCATATTTGAGGCATTTAGTGATGAAGTATTGTAATCAGTTCTATTTTATCTGATGTCACTGTCACTGTCACTGTCCTCCCATTGTTCATTGATTTCCTTGAGCGGACCCAGTAACATCTCCATTGGAGACTTTGTTGTTACTGTGTTTGGCATATCGAATACATCACAGGTATCTTGCCAGGCTCTGCCGTGTGGGCGAGATACTCTCGGTAGCTTGGTCGGCCATGTTGGCTGCATGCAAGGCAAATGCCCTACTGCTGTGCTATCGCTCCAGCCCATTTTTCTGATGAAAGAAAGATTATACCAACATCTTCTGAATGCATTAATTTAAAATAGAAAAGTTGTATTTACAGGATGTATTTAGTAATTTTGCTTCATTTTCTTGGGGGGAGGGGAGCGCCAGACGTAGTAGAGCTCAGAGGCTACTCTCAACTTTGTGTGTTTAGGGGTTGCTCCACATGGAACAATGCAGCAGTGATCAAACCTGGGTTTCCTGCATGCAAAGCATGTGCTCCAGCACATCGAATTCTCTGACTCCCAACAGGTTTTTGTTGTTGTTTTTTTAAATCTAAAGGAGCTAATAAGGAAGATATTAATATAACAGGAAAATATAAAGAATATAATTGAAGAACTGATGCAATAGAATATAATGGAAGAATGTAATAGAAGATAATAATATAATAAATAATATAACATTCAAATTATAAAGTGCATTTAGAAGTTAAAATTTGAGGCCTAGGTTTGATCCCTGGCACAACACATTCCCACAGCACTTCTAGGAGCAAGAACAGAACCAGGAGTAGCTCCTGAGCACATGGCTTATATGGTTGGGTGGTCCCTAACCATATAAGCAAACAAACATTTTCTGCCTTTTTCTCTCTCTGAGTAATAAGAATATATACGTATATCCTAATACGGAAAAACGTATGCAATCAATTCTGCAATCAAATCTTTTAATCCTTGTCAAAACAGTGTAGTCTCTATTCTTTCTTTCCCATATTTTACACAACATATGCACATACGGACACAAACAAGCCATATTCTTCAAACTTTGGTCTAAGTAATACTATAAAATCTAAATTTATCTAAATTTAAATTATTCACAGTATTAATCATGTATTACAGTATTCTTTACAGTATTAATCAGTATTAATCAAGAGTATAGCCTAGTACATTGGTAATTCTTAGAGAACTGAGGGAGAAAGATATTTTAGGTCCACATTTGTGTTGATAATGGGATGTGATAGATCCTTTATTTGAGCATGAAACAAATAGGCTTTCTGGAGGGTTTTTTTTTAAGTAATGTCTTATCATGGTTTTAAATTAGATGACTTACAGAATTAGATCTCTTAGGTTCATTTTTTGGGGCTGCAGCAATAGCACAGTGGTAGGGCGTTTGCCTTGCTTACAGCCAGTCGGGCCGAGCCAGGTTTGATTTCTCCACCCCTCTTGGAGAGCCCGTCTAGGTACCGAGAGTATCTTGCCTGCACGGCAAAGCCTGGCAAGCTACCCGTGACATATTCAGTATGCCAAACACAGTAACAACGAGTCTCAAAAAAATGGAGACGTTACTGGGCCCACTTGAGCAAATCGATGAATAGTGGGAGAACAGGTTCATTTTAGTTTGCAGAGTATCACTGTCACTGTCCTCCCCTTGTTCATTGATTTGCTCAAGTGGGCCCAGTAACGTCTCCATTGTGACAATTGTTACTGTGTTTGGCATATGGAATACGTCACAGGTAGCTTGCCAGGCTTTGCTGTGTGGGCGAGTATACCCTACATTTATTTATGATAGATTTTTGATTACATCCTTAAACTTGATGATGATCCAGAGTCTAATATTATTTATTAGACTGGGTGAAATAGAGAAAATAAATATAGTATTATAGAATTTACTGCGCAACCAGAACCTGTGTTTTGTGTAAGATTTTAATAAATTAATAAATTGAGTTTTTTTGGTTTTTTGTTTTTTTTTTTTTAGGTATTGAAAGTGTTGAGTTGAGTCCTCTTGCTGCAATATGTGTCAAAATATATTCTGGAGGAAAAGAATTAAAGGTGGATGGCTCCATTCAAATGTCTCTTCCCCTTCTGCATACAAGCGATGTAAATGCAGGGGATCACATACCCGCCTGGACATTTGATATGGACACAGGTATGTGAGCTAGGTGAAAGTACCCTGGTTTTGAATGGAATGTTTTACTTTGTTTTAAACATTTTGTGTTTTGGAGGGATTCATACCCAGCAGTACTCAGGGCTTACATATGACTGTGCTCAGAGACCACTCCTGGCGGTGTTCAGGGGAGCATATGTATTGCTAGAGATTGAATCTGGGTCAGCCACATGCAAGACAAGTGGCCGTACTGCTGTACTATCTCTCCAGTCCTTGAATATTTTATCTTAGAAAATGTTTCCATATTTTATTTAAATATTTCAGATTTATTAGGGTGTAATTAAATGTCTGTTTTTTTATTAGCAAGGCAGAATATTTTACTTGAACATTTTATCTTTAGTAGCTAAATAGAGCACTAAGTAATATAACAATTTTAAGCTCTTTGTCAATGACCAAAATTTGTCTCATTTTGATTAAAATAATGCAACTATGGTTGGAGAGGGGGTGCTAACAATATACTTTTTTAAAAGAATTAATGGGCTGGAGCGATAGCACAGCACGTAGGGCATTTGCCTTGCACACAGCCGACCCGGGTTCAATCCTTGGCATCCGATATCATCCCACAAGCACTGCCAGGAGTAATTCCTGAGTTCACAGCCAAGGGGGTAAGAGTAATCCCTGAGCATCTCTGGGTGTGACCTAAAAAGAAAAAAAAAAAGAATTATTTACTCACATTCTCATTCCTTTTAAAAAATCTCTTAATAAACTGAATTAAATTATGATTTTGTTATGATAGTGTGATGGATAATGTCAACTTATATTTAAAGTTTTGGTCTTATTCTTGAACTCCAATGTTAAAAATTAAAAGGAAATGATCAGTCAATTCACAGCTGAAGTCTATGGGTAGACTGACTTGGTGAGGCATGATACTGAGTGTAGATGCTTTCACAGGACTTATTTTCTCTCCTATCTCATCTATTTCCTCAGGGCCAAGAAGGCTGTAGGTGCTCTAATTTCCTGTGCAGATTAAAATTTAATCAGTCTTTTCTTAGTAACTGTTGCTAAGCTTTTGGATTCACTGCAGCCATAAAGTGGACTTTGTACACTTATTCTGGCTCTTGTCTTCAGGGCCTGCAAGAGAAATGCACAGATCTTTTTAGTTTTAGGTTTCTTCTTGGAACTTAATCACATGGACTGATAACAGGGAATAATAGATACCACCAAAGAGATTTCACTGTAACTAGAAGGTTATGGAGTAAAACTAAAACTCAAACAGATGTTCGTTATGGTAGGTAGGCTATAACCTTACCTATCTATGATTTTAAGAGAAAGTAGAAATGACAGAAGTTATAATGGTAGCTTTAAGAAAGAACTCTTCTCATCACTATTCTATTCACAGTACCGCACTTCTGGTTACCAAATACAGATTGGTTGGTTGGTTTCCACACTAGCTTCTGACACTGCCTGGGTATCTTATAGTTCATATAGTGTCTACAAGTGTTAGCATCCAGTTCCCCAGGTGGTGAGTTTTTTTTTTTTTTTTGGTCAGAACTGGCGTTGTACAGGGGTTATTCCTGGCTCATGCACTCAGGAATTACTCCTGGAGGTGCTCGGGGACCATATGGGATGCTGGGAATTAAAAAAAATTTTTTTTTCTCAGTTCCCCAAGTTTAAGGGCTCAGTCCTACAACACTACCCCCTCTATTAATTAAATTTTAATTTGTTTGTCATCTGAGCTTCTGACTGGCTGGAGAGGTTCCTAAGGCCCTCTCTGGAGTCAAAAATTTGGTAGAACTGCTCATGGGAAAACAGCTGATAAATATGGATGTGCTGCGTTGCCACCCAGCACATGCATATTTATCAGCTCAACTCTTGGAACCCTGAAAGTTCAGGCATTTTTATGGAGTTCTCACTGCTCTAGTCTTGGCTGGGTAAGTCTTTAACCAGGGAGTTTTGGACTTAGTTTTCAGTGCCTCTGGAGAAATGAGGCTGAAAGTTTCATCTCTCTAATCATATGGTTGGTGAGTCTAGCAATTAGCTCCCATTCTTAAGGACTTACCACAAATCATTTCAGTACCAAACTCTGTTTAGTTGGAGCACATTTGCTTTCACAGTTCTGGATCTTACCACACAGGCATGCTTAGGCTTTTAAGTGTGCTGTCCAAGAACAGGAGACTAAGATCAAATTATACAGCATCCTATTGAAAATCAGTGGGTTGAGAGTTCTAAGATCTGGTATTTTAAAACAAAAGTGGGTTTTCACTTGTCCTATTATTTTAAACGGGTTGTTTTTAAAACCTTTTGTATTTGGGGGGTGGGGGTAGTGGGATGGGCGGTACTTCCAGCTCAGTGCTAGTGGTCAGAAGTCACTTCGGAGGCCCCCCGCATACAAAGTATGTGCTTCAGTCTGTTCAGCTATCTCCATATCCCTTAAAACACTTAAAATACTTTTTAAGTAATTTTAAAGCATTTATACACTATCTCACATTTGCTCTGAGTCCAAATTGTCTCAATGATGGGGCCAGAGCAGTAGTACAGTGGGTAGGACGTCTGCCTTGCACATTGCTGACCTGGGTTTGATCTCTGGCAGATCACATGGTCGTCCTCTGAGTACTGTCAAGAGTAATTTCTGAATGCAGAGCCAGGAGTAACTCCTGAGCATCTCTGGATGTGACCCAAAAAGCAAACAAAACAAAGAAAACCAAATTGTCTCAATGACAAAGTCATCAACAAGTGGCAGAAATTTTTTACTTTTTGTGTGATGTTTAACCTGTTGCTTTTAAGTTTTTTTTTTTTAATTTAAATTCATTTCCATTAGTTTATTCTCTCTTATAAATTGAAGATACATCATTACAATAAACAAATGAACCAAGTACAAATATGTAACAAACTTATATAAATGACTTTCTTAAGCTAAATTTAATCAAGTATGTGTTTTAGTACATTTTTTGCATCTATGACATTTTATTGGAGTAGATAGAATTAAAAAAATTTACTTTTAAAAGAGGTATGCCAACAGTACTAGAACCAAACAATATTTAATAAAAAACTTTAATGAGGCCATGCAACATATTTTAGAACATGCGACAAATAACTCCTTCTTGCTGCCTTTGAATTTCACGAGTTTTTAATTCACTTCAGTATTTATGCCCCTCGCATCCATCTCTTGATGCTGTGATGGCCGGGCTGTGTACACACCTGGCTATGGTGAGGGGCAGGGCAATCTCAGTAGAGATGAAATAACCATGTTTTGTGCATGCTGTGGCACCAGGGATCAAACTCCATATTCTTACAAGACAGTGCTTCAAACACTGAGTTCCCTTCTCTCACACTTTTTAAAAAGCACTATAGCACTGTCCTCCTGTTGTTCATCGATTTGCTCGAGCGGGCCCAGTAATGTCTCCATTGTGAGACTCATTACTATGTTTGGCATATCGAATACATCATGGGTAGCTTGCCAGGCTTTGCCGAACGGGCGAAATACTCTCAGTAGTTTGCCAGGCTCTCCGAGAGGGGTGAAGGAATCAAACCCGGCTACGACAAAAATTAATTTTAAAAAAATATATTTTTTGATTTGGGACCACACCTGTCAATGCTCAGAGATTACTCCTGACTCTGCACTCAGGAATTACTCCTGGAGGTATTCAGGGACCGTATGGGATGCCAGGGGATTGAACCCAGGTCTCCCACATTCAATGCAAGCACCTTACCTGGTGTTCTACTATCTGGTCCTCTACTGTAGGATAACAATTGATTTGTCCTTTCTTCCTTGCCACAAGGAGCTTAGGTTTATCAGGGATTCCACCCTTGTGCGGGCCCTCCTGCTGAATGGGTTAGAAGAAGTATCCCCTGAAAGAAAGAACTTTACCCCTATTGATTGTGATCACACCTATGTGTAAGCCTTATGCATTTGGATTTAACTATACTGTAAGAGTTAGCTTGGGGGATCCAGATTCCAGAGGCAGAAGGAGAATGAAGTAGCATGGGGGAGGAAGAAACAAGAAGAGAATTAGAGGAGAATGGAGATGGGAATGGAATAAACTGCAACTGACACCAACCAGTCTGGCCCTTATTCCTTCCTTCCTTCCTTCATCTGCCCATTGCCATCCACCTCCCCAGGGTGGGGGAAGCGGCCTGAGAATACCAAATGCAGGCGGCGGGAGAGATAAACCGCTGCTGTCTTTCTGTTTAGACACTTTACCCTGACATTCTTAAGGCATCTCAACAATACAATTTTAGCATTATTTAGAGTCATGATTTCCCTAAACATGCATACATTCATAGTTCATTGTGATAATTTTATTTTTTAGACCAGAGTTCAATTCCTTCGCCCCTCTCGGAGAGCCCAGCAAGCTACCGAGAGTATCTCGCCCACACAACAAAGCCTGGCAAGCTACCCGTGATGTATTCGATATGCCAAACACACTAACAACAAGTCTCACAATGCAGATGTTACTGGGCCCTCTCAAACAAATTGATGAACAATGGGAGGACAGTGCAGCCAGTCATAATAATAAAGCATTGCTTATAGTCTGTTGATCTATATTATAATTTGATTGTTATTTTCCTATAATAACCATGGCACAGTTTTCATGATCTTTGAAAAAAGTACTGTAATGTATTTAATATGTTCCCAGCTCTAAAAATCTGTAGATTCTAATTAACCAGGTGGTATATTTTTCTTTCTTTCCTTTCTAGGTGCTTGGGTAAACCATGGCCTGGGGATGGTGAAAGAGTATAATGATCATTTAATATGGACATATGATGCTCCATATTTGGGCTACTGGATAGCAGCTCCAGTTCCAGGAACTAGAGGTAATAGAGAAACAAAACAAAAAGGAAATAGAAAAATAATTGAAGTAATCATCTAGAATTGGTATCAACAGATCTTGATATTATTTTAAGCACTGACATTTATTTACCTATACTGTGACTCCTGCCACATTTACACTTTCTATCCTTGTGGCCGGCCAGTATTTATTTGGGGATCACCTGCCTTCTCTTGGTCCACTCCTCTTTCTCACCAAGGGTTATGCTCATGACCCAAACTTAGGCCAAACTAACTTTTCATCTTCATCAGCCTATAAGGAAAAGACAATAAAGAGTTGGGATTAGCCACAACATAGCAGCAACTTTTGATCTCTTGAAGGTCGTCAGGTATGTCTGCTAATTAGACCTCCAAGGCAGGTAAATGATTATTAGTACAGTGGGTAGAGTGCTTGCCTTGCATGTGACAGATCTGGGTGTGATTTCTGGCATCCCATATGATATTCTGAGCACTGCCAGAAGTAATTATTTTCTTCTTTAAAAAAAATTTTTTTTAATTGAATCACCATGAGATTTCATGATCTGGTTTCAGTCTTACAATGTTCCAACACTCATCTCTCCACCAATGTACATTTCTCACCACCACCAATATCCCCCATATTCTTCCTGCCACACACCCCCCCAGGCCTCCCTCTATGGCAGACACTTTTCTTCTCTCTGTCTCTGTCTCTGTCTCTGTCTCTCTCTCTCTCTCTCTCTCTCTCTCTCTCTCTCTCTCTCTTTCTCTCTCTCTCTCTCTCTCTCTCTCTCTCTCTCTCTCTCTTTCTCTCTCTCTCTCTCTCTCTCTCTCTCTCTCTCTCTCTCTCTCTCCCCTTTTGGGCATTATGGTTTGCAATGTAGAAACTGAGAAGCCATCATGTTTGGTCCTTTACCCACTTTCAGCACACATCTCCCTTCTAGAGAGATCCTTTCCAACCATCATTGTCATAATGGTCCCTCCTTCTCTATCCCAACTGCCCTCTTCCCCAGCCTTTGAGGTAGGCTTCCAACCATGGACCATTTGCAGAAGTAATTCTTGAGTGCAGTAATTCTTGAAAAATTCTTGAGCATTGCTGGGTGTGACCTAAAACCACCACCCTACCCCCATGCCCCCAAAAGTGGACAAAATCCAAAAATTGAATACTAGGGATGATAATCATATTCTAGGAATATGAAGGTTTCATTTTTTCCTTGACTTAACATGCTATCAAATTATGTGGTTTGTACTAAGGAAATCCTACAATCATCAAGTTCTGTTAGTCTCTCAATGTATTCAGATATTGCACATTTTATCCAATAAATCTTAGGAAAAAGAAGATCCTTAGCTGTTGTCTGGGCTGGTTGCTTCTACTTTATGGCATTGCTAGTGTCTGTTTGTGTAAATGGAGTTGCTTTATGATTCTCTAGTATTGGCTTTGCTAAAACAAAGTTCTAACCTCTGGTTTCTTTCTGCTCGGAATTGTCTTTTATCTTTTTTGTTTGTTTTTGGGCCATACTGAGAGATGCTCAGAAGTTATTCCTGGCTCTGTGCTTAGGATTTACTCCTCGCAGATATTCATGGGATCATATAAGCTACTGAGGATGAACTGGGGTGGCTGAGTGCAAGACATGCTCTACTCTAGCTTTTGATGGGCCTTATCTTGTGGACTTGTATATTTACAAAAAGAGTAACTATCTGTGCATTTTAACAAAGTTTGAGGAGAATGTTAGAGTTGATTGCTTATTTCATTCATTTGCCTTTAATCATGTGTCAGACAGATTTATTTTTAAGTTAAATGTCTTGGCTCCCAGCAGAGGAGAAGCTACATTTTGAGTATTTCATGCTGATTAGGTGTCAGCCTCTGATCCAGTATGTAAATGCCAGTGCACATGCATTTGTCTACAGCATCCTGTCATCTGACTGTATCATTCCTGCCAGTTAATCACTTGAAAGCTTTTAAAAGTTTTTTAAAATTTTTTCTTTCTTTTAAACTGAGTCTTTTTAAACCAATAATTTTTTTCAGTGAGTTCAAAATTTAATATTTCAATAAGGGAAATATAAACAATTCACCAGAAATAATCGAAAGGAATGTTTTCTCCTTGAACTTAGAGCTTATGACATTATTTATTCAGAAACCTGAGCCCAGTCACTTTTGTTCTTCATGACATAAAATGTCATGTAGTGTTGGCAGCTGTCTCACCTCATTTTATTCTAGATTTGCAACTGTAGTGAAATATTGATGAAAAAGCATATTTAGTAATTATTCAATATAACCAAACCCAAGCTGTTTCATTTCCAACAAAGATAACCTAAGAAGCACTTCAATTTTATAGAGATGCATATTTCTTATAAGAATATACTAGAAATAATAGTTTATATAAGGTAAGATGACTCTGAATTATAAAAACTGAGTTTTCAGAAAGAGAAGTTTTGCTTTAACTTATGTGTTGAAAAATATTTTGTGTGAACGAGTATCAAAATAAATTGGAATTTAAGTTTGATTGTATACTGTTTAGTAATGCTTTTAAAAATTCATTTTAGTTTTTCCAGTTATTTGGTGACTTGAAAATATCCTTCCCCATATGAGTCTTAATTTTCTTGTTTTAAAATTGTGGAATTCACATATGATGATCCCTAAATTCCTATGATCCCTAACTCGCTATGACTTGAATATGATGATCCCTTCCCTAACAGTTTCAGGATAAGAATTGTTACTGAAAAATAAAAATGGGTTCTGGGGAGTAGTTATAACCTGGTGATTTCAATTTATTACACTTAGAGTAAAGTAATCTCTCACTTATTAATGTTTTAAAATGTGAATTTCTAAATATATTTGATAAAAATATTGTAATTTTCTAAAGATATCAGCTTTTATTTCTAAAAATGAAATCTCTTAGAATGTTTCAGAGTAATAGTTGGTAGCATTACTCTGTGAAAACATTCATATATATTGCTAGAAGCAGAAGGTAAATTTCACCAAGTTACAATATAATTTTATTCTTTTGTTCTGGATCCTGAATATAAATGTATAAATAGAATTTTTACCCTTATTTTTGTTTGAAGAAATTTGATTTAGCAGTAACAATGGTGTGGTTTAACGTGGACTAAATTTTCATAATCGATGAAATTAGGTGTGATGCATACCCAAGACCACATGGAAATAAACTGTTGGAGCCAAGATTACACTTCAGTCACTCTGGCTTCAAAGTTGGGTGCATAACTACAGTATTGCTTCTTCAACTTCTTTTCCATGTAGTTGTGGAGTAGATAAAGCATAATTTCAGAAATATTTTGAGACTTTGTGATCTTTAGTCTCTTACAGAAATTTTTGATAAAGAACCTTGTGCCTGGACTATCTACCGCATAGATTACAAAAAATCAGTTATCTCATTACCTTATTATTCTATTAGAATCTAATTGAGACTAATAGTATACTTGTTGTATACATTTTGTAAGATGAAGTCTTGGGCTCTAAAGATAGTACCGAGGTTAAGCACTTGCTTTGGGATAGGAGGGATAGTACAATGGGTAAGGTACCTGCCTTACATGTAGTTGACCTGAATTCAGTTCTCAGTGCTACATATGGTTTCCCAAGCACTGCCAGGAACGTTCCCTGGACAGAGAGCCAGGAGTAAGCCCTGAGCGTAACCAGGTATGCCTCCAAAACAAAACAAACAAGCTCCCCCCAAAAAAGAGAGAGAAAAAGAAAAGAAAAAAAATGGCATGTTATGATTATGTTATGATTGTGAAACAGATTACTAATGATTAGTTGTCCCAATGGCCCTCATTTTCCTGTAGCACTGTCCTCTAGCACTGTCCTCCTGTTCATCAATTTGCTCGAGCGAGCCCAGTAACGTCTCTATTGTGAGACTTGTTACTGTGTTTGGCATATCAAATACATTACAGGTAGCTTGCAGAATAATTATACATACTTCTCATCCCAGCACATAGCCAGCTTTTATTTCAGCTAGGCTTTTAAGCGTTGTGTGGCTATGTATACTACCTCCACTGCTGGGTTCACATTCTATGGTGCCAGAAGATGTTGCAACATTTAAGTCTTGGAACTTTTGGATTCTCTCTACTGCTTTAGTCCTTTTCTACTCTGACTAATTGTTTTTGAATATATCTTTAAAATTTCCTTAATCAAATGTTGCTACTTATGGCCAGTTCTTTCTACGAACATTCTATATCAGAATGTCTTCACACAAAACTTAAATTAGAACTGTGTGTCTCATTTTTTTTTTTTTGCCCCAAATTATATTTACTGCCACACAGCTTGGGTTACCATTTTCACTCTCATCTGATAAGTCCTCACTCTCTGAACTAAAAGCCAGCATCACATATTTTAGTTCTTTCACAACCTCATTTCAACATACTGCAATTGTAATAGTAAGAATCATGATAGTAAAAACAGATCTGCTATCTCAGACATTTGCTGACTTCTTACATTTTTCTGATGATTGGGCTAGATGAACCCAGCCATTCAACTTTTTCTCATTCTAAGTCTGAAGAAAGAGCAGCTTCCTCAGATACTGTTCAACTCCTAGGAGATCATACCATGCAAGCTATTTTCAGAACTCATGTTTTGCAGAGTATAGGAAGTCTGGGAAAGTGTGTTTCACCCACTGGAAATCCCGATATGAGACTCGAGCACAGAAAAGTGTGTCCACATACCTGCCATGTTTCGGATAGGACCTTAAATAATATATTTTCCTTGTTTTTATTGAATCATTTAGTTTTAGGTAAAAGTGGAGACCTAAAGGATATTACTGCCTACCACACAGTGTTCCTTACGGCCATATTAGGAGGAACAATAGTTATTGTCATCGGATTTTTTGCCATCCTTCTTTGTTATTGCAGGTAAGAATAATATTGATCACTGTGTGGAAACAAAGAAAAAAATTATAGCATGTTGGTAGTTCTGTGTGTCATTGCATAATTTGTAGAAATCAACTGTTTTAAAAACCTCTGAAATAAAATGGGTACATGCTAGCAATAAAATAGCAAACTATATAATGCACATATATAGAATAATTCTTTTGTCATCTCTTTTAGGGATAAATGTGGTACTCCACAGAAAAGAGAAAGAAATATCACTAAACTCGAGGTCCTCAAGAGAGATCAGACCACATCAACCACACATATAAATCACATCAGTTCAGTTAAAGTTACATTAAAAACGGAGGACAAGTCACAGTTATTCAATGCCAAAAACTCATATAGTCCTCAAAAAAAGGAAATGTCAAAGACAGAAGCTGAAGAAAGAGTGTCTGTGGTGAAAACTCGGGACAGTTTTAAAATCTATAATGAAGATGTTCCATTTCTGTCAGTCAGTCAGAGTAATTACTCAAGAAACCCAGCACAATCTCTGGAACCCAGTTTAGGGTCTAAACAGCCTAAACATATTAATAGCAATCTATCTTCATCTTTAAGTGATACTCAAGAGGAAAAGCGGTATCTTACAGGTAATGAGGAGGTGTACGGGCGTTCCCACATTCCTGAGCAGCTTATGCATCTCTATAGCCAGCCCATTGCCATCCTTCAAACATCTGACCTTTTCTCCACCCCAGAGCACTTACACACTGCTAAGTCAGCTACTTTGCCAAGGAAGGGACAGTTAGTCTATGGCCAGTTGGTGGAACCAGTAAATAGAGAGAACTTTACCCAGACATTGCCCAAAATGCCAATGCATCCTCAGCCCCCAGATGCCAGGGAAGAGAACAACCCACTTGAAGGTCAGCAGAGCTTGCCATCCCAAACTTCAGATTGGAGCCGATATTCGAACAGCTTACTCGAATCTGTCTCTGTTCCAGGAACACTAAACGAAGCTGTCGTAATGACCCCCTTTTCGTCAGAACTTCAAGGAATTTCAGAGCAGACCCTCCTGGAACTGTCCAAAGGAAAACCCTCCCCACATCCCCGAGCCTGGTTTGTTTCTCTCGACGGGAAGCCAGTCGCCCAAGTGAGACATTCCTTCATAGACCTGAAAAGGGGCAAGAGAACCCAGAGTAACGATACAAGTCTGGACTCTGGGGTGGACATGAATGAACATCACTCGAGTAGAAAACTCGAGAGAGAGAAGACTTTCATCAAAAGCATGCATCAGCCGAAGATCCTTTACTTAGAAGATTTGGATCTGAGTAGCAGTGAGAGTGGAACCACCATCTGCTCCCCTGAGGACCCAGCCTTAAGGCACATCCTTGATGGAGGGAGTGCAGCGATCCTAGAGCACCCCGGAGAAGAGTCCCCAGGAAGGAAGAGCAATGTTGAAGATTTTGAAGCCACTATATCCCCCACAAAAAAACGGGGTAGACCACCCCTGGCCAAAAGAGATAGCAAGACTAACATCTGGAAGAAGCGGGAAGAACGCCCACTGATTCCCCTAAATTGACACCAGTTGCTGCTGTGTCTCTGCTGTGTCTCTGCTGTGTCGTGCTGTTGAATCTTGCTTCTTGTAAATTGCAGTATGAACAGAAATTGAGACTGAGCAATCTCATGATCCCAAGACATGTTTCAAGCAGAGTAAATAGTAGCATGGTAGTTGAGCAATGAGAGAGAAAGACACAAAGGAATATTTTTGTCTGACTGCTGAAGTATCCAAGAAAACAAATACAGAGGAACTCTTTACTGTGAAAAGGTGTATTCCTAAAGTTGATTCCCAAAAATGTTGCCTCTGCTTTAATGACTACTCCCGCCAAGTGTTTAGAAATGCCACTGTATTTTTAAGATATATTCTAATGAAATATTACTGTTCTGTTCTCCCTTGCCTATGCTTGAGCTTGATAGATGTTCTGGAGCAATACCATTCTAGAATTTAAAGGCTGAGTGTTTTTTTTCCTTTCTCTTCTTTTTTTTGACAATAAACAATATATACTTTGTATCATCCTAAGAGTATATCCCATACTCTTATAAGAAGCAGAGGAAGCTGTTTCTTTGCTAGAGAAGGAAGCCCCAGATTTTTGGTTGTTTTTTGAAAATAACTTTCTGGAATGAACTGTTAATTTCTTATTAAAAATCTGAGAAATGAATAATCTAATACTGAAGTTATTTTTCAGTTTTCTTCTCCCCACTGTCAAAATGCTTTTAAGAAAAATTTACCAGTACGAAATAAAATTAAACAGAGTCTAAAATAAGTTGAAATATATTTTAATAAAAGTTATAGCTATTTAATGGCTATTTGATATTAAAAACATCAGTGAATAGAAACACCCAATATGAGCACATATTAAAAGTATGGAGATAAAGGAAACATTTCCATCTTTTTCTTAAATGTTAATGAACAGAGAAATGTCATTTTCTTGAAATTTGATAACTTCAGAGTACCAGGCATATATAGATGTTCTTCTAGTTGATATTCTTAAATTAGATTTGAGGAAAACAGTTCAATTTCATAGAAAAATATTTCTTTTAAATCACATAGAGCTTTTCAACTTTTTTCCCTTCCAGTTTTGTAAATACTGTATTCATAGTTTTTCATCATTGTATTCAGTTATGAACACCTTTAATTATTCCCCTGATTTTAATTATGCCCCTTAGTTCTGAATTTTTATTCTTAGCTTGAAAGTGAAATCATTTTTGTTCATTAAAATCCATTCACTTTTAAAAATTTACAAGAAGACAATTGTTTGAAATAGCCTTTTCCATAGGGAAAATGAAATTAGATTATTTCTCATTCTCACTTATTCAACAAGGAGATCCAAGCCTCATAAACAAGCTACAGGAAGCAAAGTCAGTCACTTTTGATCAAATTTTACACAGATTAAAGGCAACTGTCCCATCCATCCCTGCTCCAAGACAGACTTCTGATTTTTTTCTTGTAATCATTTCTGGGCCATCTAACTTATCAAATAGTATCCCTATCTTCTGCATTAACCCAAAGAACTTAAAGACCTAGGCAAAGTTTGCTACTTTTCACCCAATCCATATAATATATAAATGTTTAGGGTAATGCCTAGGTTTACTTTTGGGAGGGGTGGGTGGGGAGTGATAAGGCACCAAATTAGAGGCTTATTGGTATTTACAAAAAGATGCATTAAAATTACATGAATGAAAGTGACAAGGGAAAGGTTAAGGATTAGTGCTCTGCTGAAGTGCCTTTGATATAGACTTGCTTTATTAGAAGGATATGGTAACATCTTTTTTAAATGTGCATTTTCTTTGTCAAACAGATGTGCAGTTTTTATTAAATAGAGACCCAGCGTTTCATGTTGGAACAATGCATTTTGCATGCAAGTGACATTTATCTTTTAAGTATCCATTTTATATTGGTAAGTTATTAGAATGAAGATAGAAGCTATAGTAAAATGTTGCACTTCAATAATTTAAGTGTTTGTTTTTCCCACCATTAAAAATGTTGCATCTCTTAGCTTGGTCATGAAATACACAGATAGTAGAGGTTATATTATTCCCACATTCCATTTATTCATTCTCATGTAAACAAAAAGAGAAGTTGTATCCCCAAGGGCTTTTCTAGAAATGGGTTTGTTTTTTTGTCTTTCTTTTTGGTGTTGTTGTTTCAGCATAAAACCTTATTTTTTTATATACTGCACATTCTGTATCCAATTGGGAAGTATAGGCTATTTATCTTTTTTAATGATCAAAAACGTGTAACTTCTTATTTGTGAGTAGTTCAGAGAACTGTTAAAAAAACTGAAGCCATCTACTTTTTCTTAACCCAAATGATAATAAACCTACAATAGTCACAACTTTCTTAAATTTTTAAATTGAAAACCAACAGTTTTTCTGCAAATGTAAACCTAGAAAATTTTGGTCACATATTGCTAACATTTGTTGATCCTTTGTATGTACTTTGGATATATCTTGAGAGTAAAATTATCCCTCAATTAACTGATGGATTAATTTACTAAAGCACAGCTATATGTATTTTTGAATACATATTATGATCTTCAGACTTTATAAAATTCATTTTTATGACATATAATGCATTGTATAGGGATTATGCCCTTTTGTAGTACAGAGTATATGCGAAGGTCACAAATGTTGAGAAATAAAAGCACTTCTTTGCTTTGGCAATCATTTTTCAAATCACTTTTAGTGTGCTTGCCTCCTCTGCTTTCAATGCTTATTACAGCGTTTTAGGGATCTGCAGGTCAAATAATGCCCCTCAAAATTTATTAGAAAGGTGAAGCTCACAATTACATATTCACTCATATTTCTCTATAGACTAGCATTGTACTGATTGTGACTGTTAATTTCCATCTCTGATCTAGAGATCACATTTTGCCCTACTGTTTCTAAGTGTTTCTATCTTTTGTATTCTTTCATCAGAGGAATCTCAAATTTCAGTGTATTTATTGCCATCATTACTATATTTACTGCTGAAAACTGTAACAATATGAAGATTTGTAAAATGTTAAAATAGCTCATTAAAGATAATAAAATCTAAAAAGATACTTGCATTGTTTAATTTGGAGCAAATTATGAAATGTTTTTCTCTGAATCGTCCTTTAATCTAGTAAATACTTAGTCATTTTATTTTGTAGTACACTTCCACTAGTAAAATATATTTTGCTACCTGAGTTTATAGAACTCTTTTGTAGTTTGTATATTCCAAAGTTCACATTTTTACAAAGTTGTGTAAAATGCTATTTTCAAAATACCTAAGTGAGAAAATGATGTGGTTGTCCCTGGTTTTAGTTTTTGTACTTTTAAATAATACATCCATTAATGTTACATTTTCTTTAAGAGTTCTTCTGCTCAGTTAATTGAACAGTAAGTGCAGAGCATTTGTATTTTTAGACTTTAGAATAATTACCCTGGTTGCCATCTTTTAGACATGTTATGAAGCATAAGTCAGTGTGGTACTAGAATACCACTGGTGACTTCCAGTGGGAAAAAAGGCTCTGAATCCTCTCACAAAAGCTGTAAATGATGCCCAGAACTGGCATTGAAATCCCTGCTGATTTCAGTCAGGCACTGGCTGCCCTTGTTCCAGGGCCTGATTTCCATCTACAAGAGTCTTGAGTCTTAAGAGAAATGATACAGTTCCTGGGGGAGTCATGGAAAACCAAAAACTCACATAGAACTGGGGCAGTAGGAAACAGATTTTACAAATAACCGAAACATGGTGGCCAAACCTAATGGTTTTGCATTGTCTTCAAAGTCTCCTGTAAGATCAATAGGTAAGTTAGTGAAAAATACTTCACCTATCAGTACTGTGACAGCTAATTAGGGATTTTCTTTTCAAATTACAAACTATGGAAATGCTAAAGTGTGCCACAGTGTTGCTTTATTTTGATTTAATCAAATCATCTCTTGCCTTTTTTATTTAATTTATTTATTTTGAATACCCATCCCTCCACCAGTGTCCATTTCCCACCACCATGGATTCCAGTATCCCTCCCCCCCCCCCCATCCCACCCTACCTCTGTGGCAGGGCATCCAGGTCCCAAACAGCCAATATCACCGGGAAGTCCCAGATGGGGTAGGTGCTGCATCCCGCCTTCTCGAGATGGAACCCCAGTGACCATGAGCCTCTACAAGCATAGCTATGGCATGCGGGAATCAGGACATTTTTTCCAAACTGCATAAGCGCCCGCGCGACATCTCCTTATATACAAAGTGATCAATGGAAAGTAAATAATCCAACGTTTCTCCCTGAAAATCAGGCCTTTTTTTTATTGGCCAAATCTGTTTTCTTTTTCTTTTTCTTTTTTATTGAATCACAGTGAGATACAGTTACAAGCTTTCATGTTTGAGTTACAATCATACAATGTTCTAACATCCAATCCTCCACCAGTGCACATTCCCACCACCAATCTCCCCAGTATATCCTCCGTTTCCCACCCTTCCCATGCCTCCCTTGCAGATAATTTCCCCCATACTCTCTACTTTTGGGCATTAGGGTTTGCAATACAGATACTGAAAGGCCATCATGTTTGATCCTTTATCTACTCTCAGCACACCCTTCCCGACCAATCCTTCCAACCAACATTTTCTTCGTGATCCCTTCTCTATTTCAGCTGCCTTCTCCTCCTGCTATTTCTTGTCTTTTTATTGCTGAATTGCTTTATCTTTATATAGATATATATAGGTGGATAGAAAAAACATAGAGAGTTACATCTATCTATCCATAAATGTTACACGGAGAAGACTTAATTCCCTCAGTTTGCTCTCATACCAACTGGGATAAAATTGTGAGTAATCTGCCCTTAGAATTGGAATGATTAGCTTCTTTGCTCGAGGTAAAGGCCCTCCCGTTGATCGTCGATTTGCTCGAGCGGGCCCAGTAACGTCTCCATTGGAGACTTTGTTGTTACTGTGTTTGGCATATCGAATACTCTCGGTAGCTTGCTGGGCTCTCCGAGAGGGGCGGAGGAATCGAACTCGGGTCGGCCATGTTGGCCACTTGTAAGGCGAACGCCCCACCGCTGTGCTATCGCTCCAGCCTTTTAAAAGCTGTATTTTCCTTTTTTTCTACTTTGAGCTTCTCTTTGGGAAAAATGAAGTTCTTTTTCTTGGCTTATTTTTTTTTTCTATAAAAACAGCTTAGGAAAGAACCATATGACAGTGGTTGAGGGAATGATATAGCAGCTCTGCAATGA